GGAGCTGAGCAGGCCGCGGGGGCCCCGCTCCACGCCGGCCCGGCCAGGGGCGAGGCGTGAGGGAGGAGCGGGGCAGGGCGCGCCGGGGAAGCGGCCCGAGGGCGCTGCAGAGTTGCTCCTTCCTCAGCGAAGAGGCAGCGGTTAAGGGGGAGCAGGGGGCACGCAGCCCCGCACCCGCTGGGACGGCCCTAGTCTAGCCAGGCGTTCAGGAGTAAATATCGCAGCCCCTGGACAGGGAGGGCAGGAAGAGCGGCGCTCAGTGCTGTGGGGACAGCTCCTGAGGCGGTTTCTGAGGTTAGGGCTGTAGGGCCACGGGGTTAGCAGTACAGCAAGGCCGGGCTCACCTGGGAAAGCCTCGGGAAGCCCATCCCTAGGGACAGATCCTCTTCTACTCAATTAGGCACGTAAGTGAACTTAGGCACTGAGGTGCCATCCTGCTCCGTGGCACTGGAGTCCCTGAACATCCATGAATGCCTCTACCTTTGTAACACCCACCCACCTCTTATATTAAGATTGTTTTAAAGGGACTCAAGCAGCATGGGAGAGCGTCCTGCTTTGGTGCCTAAATCCACTTACACAGCGGACAGGGACACTAGGCTGGCTCTTAGAGTGAATTTTTTGCGTGGAGTTTTAAATGGGTGAGCACATGCCTCCCAGCCTGCTGAGACTCAAGCAGGAGGCAACACTGGCCCAAAATAATAGAAACAATTACCAAAGCTGGAAATAGAACATGCTGTGAGGTTTCTCTCAGTACCATGATCTTTCTTACCCACACAATTACCTCCAGGCAAATACTGTCCTAAACAGGGGCCACCCAAACTGCTGTGTTCCGTGAATCGGTGCATATTGAGAATATAGGAGATGGTCTGTTCATTGAACAAAAAGCACCTCTCCCACCAAAGGATGCATAAGTAGGGGGAAAGGCCCATTCCACTTTTTGTCCAGGCATCCTCTCCCTGCACAGGTGAAGAGTATTTCCCTGGGGGCAGAGTCTGAAAAGTAGGCAAAGCACATCCTTGAGACTCAACCTTCAGAGGAGCCCTAGCAGAGACATCACTGCCAGGAAAGATCTCTCAGCAGCCAGCGTACATTTTCCCCTTTTTCTATTTTATCTCACGTGTCTTAATAGTAACCCCATGTGTCTCTGTCTAGGAGCTGATGTCCATAAATATTATATCCCCTACCAAGTGTTGGTAACTACTGTATGAGAAGTAGTTTCTAGTTCTAGTAGAAAATGGCCTTGAAAATTATTGGACAGAAAACCACCCCTGAGCCACAGCCTCCCACGTTTCCCCTTCTGTGGTGGGACTCTGGCTTCACCAAATCAAAAAGGACAAGGTAGAGAAACCAACTGGGTCTCATTTAAAATCCCCGTCCCATAGATTTTTGTGTCAACGCAATACAAATGTTTAAGTGAAACTCAGCCATCGAGTAGGCCTTTCTGCTGTTCAGTACAATATTCTAGAAAGCAGAGCAAGGAGATGGGTAAGCTGAAGTTCTGTCACACTTGACTTCAGGCTGTTCTTATATTCCAATTTGAACAGAAGAAAGAAAAACTTCCCACCACTGTTACTGAAGAGAAGCTGGATCTGAAGAGTAAGCAGAAAGGGAACCAAGAAACAAGGGTTTTGGGAGGCAGGAAGGGAATCTGTTATCTCTATGTAATTGAGGGTAGATACATTAGGATGAAGAAATCAAAAACTAGGCCCCTTACCATCTGCTTTCCCTACATCAGTGGTGTTCAACCTATCTGGCCCTTCAGGCCAGATGAGAGGTGTGAGGCCAGTCCACAGGCTGGATCTGGCATGTGGATTCAGTCCATGGGCTAGATCCAGTGCATGGGGTTGGATCATGGGCCCAATCCAGCACATGGGTCAGTCCATGAGCCCAATCCAGTGCACAGCATTGGGCCATGGGCTCAATTCAGCAGGCAGAGCTGCATCATCTGGTCCATGGGGCTCCCCATGGGTCTGCAAATCTGGCAGTAGGAGGAGCAGCAGCAGGTTTAATTGCCCCGGTTCCAGGAGTCACAGCAATTAACACTGCCACTGCTACCCCACCACCACATTTCAGAACCAGCGGGCAGCTCTGCAGGCTGAGTGATGCAGCTTTGAGGGCTGGACCTGGCCCATGGGCTATACCTTGGTCACCCCTGTTCTACATTGCATAATGGGGCTAAGAGTAAGTGGAGGCTGTCTCCATGCAGGGGGCATGCCCAGCCACCAGACAGGCAAGCCCTTAGTGCTCTGGCAGCTCCTTGTATACGAGCATGCTAAAGACATGGTAAGTGACAAAGCCAGTGACTGGCTCTTCTGAACCAGGAAAGCATCCTATGGAAGATGGGCTGGAGTGTATGGACCCTAAATTAAAACAGACCCTGTCTGTTCTCACTTGAATAGCCAGATCCAGAATGCAGGAGGCACAAACATAGTATAGTGATACTTTTATTCCCAACCCCTAGGCTGCATCTCCCATGAAGAAGAACTCAGACTCAAGGGACATGTCCAGGCAAGTGTACATGTGTGGTATGCAGCATCACACACCTGTCTGCGGTGCTACACACTGCACACACTGGACATGCAGGTGTTCTCCATACCGCTATTTTGCAGCAGGGCAGGATTTTTTGACACTGGGAGATCCTGGTGTCAAAAAAACCCTCACTAGAAAAAAGTGGGATGGCGCACAAGGCAGCAGCATGCATCCCTGAAAACCACAGCCTGGCCAGCCGGAGCTGCACTCCAGCTGCCAGTCAGGCTCTCTGCTGCTGGATCATTGCTTCTGGAGCCCTGGGAGGCCCCCAGGTGCTGGCCCCAGCCACCCCTACCCCACCCAACCTGCTGCACACTAGAGCACACGTGCACAAATGTTCCCTGGGGCCAAGTAGCAGTGGCACAACTATGTGCTGCTGCTATTTGTCCCTGGGGAAATGCATATACACGCTCATCTGGATATGCCCAAGCTGAACATCATGACTTATGAAAAGTATCCACTTTTGTGTGATAGGGGAAAAGCAGAAAGCAGACCTTGCCTCCATCCTCAAGAGAAAAGCTATTCTTATAATTAGTTTAGAGGAGTGAAGTCATTTGCCTAGCAGGAGCAGCTCTGTCTTTGCCTCCTTATCTACAGAATACTTATGGTGGCACAGTGCTTATGGTTCTATTATGCTTCCAGTGGCATTTGGTCTAAGTCATGCTGGGACAGCCATACGTGTAATGATGGGGAATGAGGCACAAGGGAGAGATTGAGCCCATTCTCAAAACACCCCACCAAAGAAGGCAGCCTTTATAGGATCACTTGAACACTCAAGGTCAGCTCGTCAGGGCATCCAAGCTGCAGCTGGCCAAAAAGTCACACTGGGATGGAAAGGCATTTCTAAGTCACACTTCTGTTTCCTGAGGTTGAGACTTTTGTCCTTGGGCACGTCTTGACTGTCATCCACTGGTGGAGCCCTGAAGCAGAGACTTTCCGGTGTGGTCACCTGAGCACTGATCTGGAACTTGGGAATCAGCTGAGAGTGCAACACTGGGCCAGGTCAGCTGTCTAAGAAAATGAAACAGCACCAAATGAGATATTCCTGTACACTAAATGAATTGCAGCCTCACCACTGAGGCACAAAGCCAGTCTGAAGACTGCACAGTGCCAGAATTTGCTGGCATTACCAACGTAAATCAGTACTCACAATGAGCAGCCCTGTCCCATTTCTAGCTCCATGCAGTTGCAGACATGTGCTAGAGCAGCGGTTCCCAAATTCTGACAGATTGCGCACCACCAATATAAAATGATACAACCCTAAGTACTACCAGCAAATTTTTCAGTTCAACCTTAAATACTACCAGCAAATTTTTATCGTATAAAGTAATTATAATAAATCTGTTAACGCATACCACTGACAGGTTGTCTGTGTACCAGTGGTGGTATGTGTACTGGAGATTGGAAACCACTGTCCTACAGCACACCTGCTCTATATACACAGTAATAGCAGGAGAAAGTACTCTTCTTTCCCCCTGTTCTCCACCTGGAGGTATTATCCTTTCTTCTAGGTTACTTGGGCATAATGCCTGATAACTACCACTTGGGCATTGCAACTTCCCTTCCTATAGTCAGCTGAGGTAAAGCTCTCTTGGCTGATGTCAAACTTTAGGCATGCTTTTAGGCTAGTAGAAA